CTACACAGATTGGACCTGTAGTGATTCTCCTGTTTTCTGCCTCCCAAGCGCTGGGATTACAGGTGCGCGCCACCACGCCCAGTCTCAATGGCCGTCTCAGTGAGCCCCGGGGGCAGGATTGAACCTCGGCCCCTGCGCTCTGCCTAAGCAGACACTTTAGTCTGCTGAGCTGTCTGGCCAGCCCAATTTTAATATAATAATATCTATCAATCTTTTCTTTTATGACTGCTCATTTTGCTTTAAGAATTCCCAGAAGGAGCTGGGTGTGGTGTCACACACCTCTTATTCTAGTACTCAGGAAGCTGAGGCAGGAGGATCAGTGTGTATAGGAGGCCAGCCCGGGCTACAATATCGAGTTCAAGGCCAACCTAAACTGCATACTGAAGCCATGTCTCAAAAAAATAAAAGACCGAAACAAACAGAAAACAATCCCTAAGGGCCAGCCAAATAGCTCAGAATTGCAGAGGGGTATGCTGGAGACAGGACACCCCAAATAAACAAAAGGCCGCCTCATTTCATTGACCTTCTCAGACCCAAAAGCTACAACTCTTGTCGCACAGGTCCTGCTTTACCTTGGTCTTAACCATCCAGTAGAAAAGTATGAAGACGAAATATAAGAAATAAAGCCATGCTGTTAAGTTAAGCTGTGGGGGACTCAGGTCAATAATTTCTGACATTGCCAGTTAAACAGAAGACCCAATGCTATTATGGGCTACTGGACTCTTTTAGAATATTTTGCTGAGTTTACACACCTATAATATTCAGTAACTGAACTTAGGAAAAATGGGGTACACCGATGAATGTCCATTCTGTATCTGTGTATTCAAAGTGGTTGGGGTAGATATATAGTTGCATTCTCTTAATGAATAGAATGATTTGTTCTAATGGTGTTTGTAAATAGGATCACAAGTCTGCATCTTGTACAGCAATTAACCACTAAGAAGAATATATGCAGTGTATTATTTGTTGAAACTGTACTTCCGATTTGATTTGTAACTGTGTCATTGCTATCTGTTTATCAATAAAACTGTAGAAAAAAAAAAAAAAAGGCCGCCTCCATTCAGCTGCAGGAAGCTCGCGTGCAAGCACATCCTCGCTAGCCTCAGAGGGCTCTTGCAAAACAAGTCCCAGCCATCTGGTAGGCCGAGGCAGGAGGACCCAAGTTCCAGCCCAGCCCCGGTAACCCAGACATTTATTGAGACCCTGTCTCAGAATGAAAAATGAATAAAAAAGAGCTGGGGATGGAGCTCAGTGTGCAGGCTTTGGCTTGGGTCCCCAGTTCTGCAGGGGTGGGAGTTACTGTGTGGTTCCTGTCTCTGCAGTTGCACCCCCATTTCCCTCCTGCCTTGAGGCTGTGATGACTTTTCTTTTTTTTTGTGGTACCGGGGATTGAACTCAGGACCCTGCGCTTGCCAGGCAGGCACTCATTCCACAGAGCTGTCTCCCCGGACTTTCCCTGACCGTTATAGAAGTGGTGCAGGTATATAATTTCCTTTTTAATTATGTTAACTACATTTACATAGTTGTTTTTAATAACTATGTTGTTTTCTTTTTTTCTGAGACCAAGTCTGACTACATAGTGCAGGCAGGCCTTGAGCTCAGGAAAGCCACCTGCCTCAGTCTCCCGAGTGTAAGCAAGACCGGCATGTGCCACCATCCTGGTCTCTTCTTTCGCTTCTGCCAGAGATAGGTAGCAGGGCCTAGTACTATTGGCCCAGCTCCATATAATTAATTTCTGCTGTCTTGCTGGCTTTTCTCCTCTGCCTTTTCCCTCTTCATTGAGACAAACTGACCAGATAGCTCAGTGGACTAAAGCGCCTGCTTAGGCAGCGTGTAGGGGCCGGGATTTGATCCCTGGCACCATAAGCCGTGCCAGCCCCGTCCCAGGGGCGCAGAGACAGCAATGGAGACTGGGTGTGGTGGCGCGCGCCTGGAATCCCAGCCCTTGGGAGGCTGAAAACAGGAGGATTGCTGAGTCCAATCTGTGTAGTGAGACCCTGTACTAAATACATAAAAAGGTCTCATTTTGTAGCCCAGGCTGGCCTTGAACTCACAGAGATCCTCCTACCTCAGCCTCCCAGGGTAGGTGTTCACCACCATGCCCAACTTGACTTTCTTCTGTTTTACTTTTGCTTTTTTGTTGTTGTTGTTGCGGCACTGGCATTCAAACCCAGGACCTTTACAATGAATTACATCCTCAGCCTTTTCTATATTTTTAAGTTTGAGAAGGGTCTTGCTAATTCATTAAATTGCCCAGGCTGGGCTCGAACTTGGGGCCCTTCTGCCTCAGCTTCCCAGAGTGCTGGGATGACAGGCATGCACCTTATGCTGGGGCTTCCTGCTGTCTTCGGGTTTAGTCTGCCATGCTGAGGAGCTCCTGCTGCCTTGGTGTTCCCTGGCAGACTGTGTGTTGGCCAGCTTTTTGTGGCTGCCAAGTCACCCCAGGACCATTACCTTCTGAACACAGGCTTGGGAAGTTCTGGTCCATCATGAGGCAGCTTCATGGCAAGAGTGTATGGGATGGGGCTGGTGAGATGGCTCAGTGGTCTAAAGCACCTACTTAGAACAAGCTTAGCAAAGCACAGGGACCGCGGTTCAATCCCCCAGCACCACATGCCAGCCAGCCCCGCCCCCTGGTGGGCTGAGCTGGCCACACACACACAAATAAATAAATAAAAAATTTTAAATAAAAAAAAAAGAGTGTATGGGAGAGCAAGGTTGCCTGCCTCACAGCCGGGAAGCAGAGAAGGAGCAGGTGTCGGGCACACCCATCACCCCAGTGCTTGGGACGCTGAGGCGGGAGAGGCATGCTCGTTCGAGGCCAGCCTGGGCAACAGTGTGACCCTGTGTCAAAAAACTACCACCGCCAAAACAAAGAGAGGAGGGTGTCATGACCCCCTTGAGGACACACCTCCATGGACCTCTGGGCTTCCCAGTAGGCCCTGCCATCCTAGGAACAGCACAGGCAGGGACTGCACCCTGTCACACATACCATGCCCTGGGAGAAACCAGGGAAACTGAGGCAGCCATGAATATCCACAGAACTCGAGCTTTGGCTCTGGCCCTACTGTTTCTCTGCAGGTGAGTTTTAAGTCCATTTAGATTTAGTTCTAATACTTCTGGGACCAAAGGATTATTTGGAAGTGTGGTTTTTAATTTAAATTTCTAGAGCTGGGGAGATGGCTCAATAGAATAAGCACCTCCCTGGCAAACGCAAGGGCCTGAGTTCAATCCTTGGTTCCACCAAAATAAATAAATAAATAAATAAATTCTGAGGGTTGTTGGGTGCTTTGTCAATCGATGTGCCTACACTCCCAGCTTTTCAGAAGGCTCACGCAGGAAGGTGGCAAGTTCCAGGGCAGCCTGGGCAAACATGGAGGACCTCAGTTTAGTTCTTTTGGGAGTAGGGACTCAGGACCTTGGCCAGGCAAGTACTGTGCTGCTCAGCTCTCTCCCCAGTGCTTTTGGTTTCATTATTATTTTAAAATTTATTTACTGGGAAGGGGCCGGGGAGATGGCTCAGTACGATAAGCACTTGCCTGGCAAGAGCAAGGGCCTGAGTTCAATCCCCGGTTCCGGAAAAACAACAACAACAAAAAAAACCCAAAACTAAAATTTATTTACTGGGGCCGGGGAGATGGTTCAGTGGAATAAGTGCTTCCCTAGCAAGCGCAAGGGCCCTAGTTCAATCCTCAGTTCCGCCAAAAAAAAAAAAAAAAAAAATTATTTACTTATTTGGTGCAGGGTCTCACTGCGCAGCTCGAACTCATAGTGATCCTCCTGTTTTCAGCCTCCTCAGCACTGGGATTACAAGCGTGCACCACACGCCTGGTTTGGGTGGCTGGCACGATGTATCCAGACTCTTGGGGCCAGCAATGGCATAGAGTATCAGGGATCGAACCTGGGTCCTTGTGCTTGCCAGGCTTTGGTTTCTAGTTATTGGTGGGATCTAAGTCTTTGTTTTGAGATAAAGTCTGGCTAAGTAGCCCAGGCTGGCCTGGAACTCACAGCAGCTCTCCTGCTTCAGCCTCCTGAGGGCTGGGAAAGCAGGGTGTGCCCCTGCCTGGTGTGATTTACAATTCTACTGCAGCCCAGGAATATGGCCTGTGTGACACCAATTGTTTTTCTACTTGTTGACACTTGTTTTGTGACCTCAGGCATGAGTTTTGGGGCTTGAATTTGTTTTCTGAGCCAGAATCTCCACTAGGCAGCCCAGGATGGCCTCAAAAATCATGGTGACTGTCCTGCCTCCCACACACCAACACTATGTAAGTCATGTGGTCTTGAGAAGACACAGGGAAAACTCCCAGCCGCCTGTCTGCCACACCTCTGGCCTTGGGTCCCTGCAGGGGCAAGTGCTCGCTTCTTCTGGCCTTGGGTCCCTGCAGGGGCAAGTGCTCGCTTCTGCCTCCCTAGGGCACCAGAATGGTGCCTGTAATCCTCCCTGTACCCCCATCCTTCCCCAGTGCACCTCCTATCCACCCATCACCCCTCTGGCATGACCTCGGGGTCTGCCCACCCACCAGCTATCTACCTAGCTAGGGGGCAGGATCTGTAGAATGAACCCTTTTAAAGTGCCAAGCAGTGTATAGTAAGTTTTCATCACTCCCTGCACTTCCAGAACTTTACCCCTCTTCCCCCGCTCCAAAAGGAAGTGCTGTACCCATAAGTACTCTCTCTGCCCTGGCAGCTGCTGATGGGCCTGCTGCTATGGCGCTGCCTGTCCCCTACCCTTTTCAGCGGAATCCTGTGCTGTGTGGCCTTTGCCATGTCATCTCAGCAGTGCCCACAGGTTGCCCCTTAAGCCCAAGTGGTACTCCACTGTATGGATATGTGCTTTGTTGTTGTTGTTGTTTGTTTGTTTTTGCAACAGGGCCTCACAAAATAGCCCAGGCTGGCTTCAAACTTGTTTTGATCCTCCTGCCTCAGCCTCCTAAGTGCTGGGTGACAGGCAGGGGCCAGCATACACAGTTTGGCGGGTCTCTCTGTGTTGGGTGGTGGAAGGTCACTGTTGGCACCCCTTCCGCACTGCCCTGACACTGGCTCTATGGACCAGACTCTGACTCAGCCAGAGGTGGAGCTAGGCTGCGCATCCTGGGGAGATTGGGGTGCGACTGCGGCTTGTCCTCCGGCTCCTTTCCCAAGTACTCCCCACACCTGATGTTGGGAAGCGGGAATGCATTTTCCACAGCAGCTTTACTGAAGGGACTCAGGGTGCCCCACCTGGGGGCCAAGGGTCTGGGAAAGGCACACGCGGCGGTGGGGTCTCCCTCTGGCGACACAGCACTCCCCAGGACCCCTCTTTGGCACAGAGCTGGGCCCACGGAGCCCTGGCTCCCAGTAGATGGGCGGTGTGCGCCCCCCAGTGGCAGCTGGCAGTGTAGGCTGGTGTGGGTTGGGCGGTACTGGTGGCTGCTGGGAGCTCCTGGGTCTGGTCACCTCCCCTGCTGGCAAAGGAGCAGGCCACACACAGGGAAGCCAATACATTAGGTCGAGGAGGAGTGACGCCCAGGGCTGCCACTGGCACAGGACTCTAACTCTGGGCCCTGTTCGACTGCTTCTATGGCAGGAAGTGTACTCCACGGGCCAGGGGTGGCAACAGCAATAAGGAAGTGGTGAGCTGAGTCTTAGGGGGCAGGTGGCCTCTAGCTGGTGGCAGTGTACTGGGATCTGGGGGTCCTGCTCCAGCCCCAGTTTAGCCCCAAGTGCTATGCTCCTCTCTGGAGCCAAGCAAGGAGGAGGCAGTGCACGCAGTCACAGTGGCACAGAGCCCAGGGAGGGCGGCTGAGGTCGGTGGCGGTGAGGGTGGGCTGGGACCTTGGTTTCCTTCATGTGATCTGAGCTGGGGGTGGGGCTGGCCAGGTGCCTGGGGCCCTCAAGTGGAGACCCCAGGCCCGGGGGCCTCGCCAAGGATGTGGCGCAGCTCCTGCAGGCGCTGCTGCATCTCAGGGACGCCAGCCAGCTGCTGCTCCAGGCGCTGCCGCTCCTCCGTCAGGCTCAGGCGTGCCACAGAGTCCAGCCTCTCGAACTTCCAGCCTCCCTCACCATCAAACTGCAGCAGGTGCGTGTGGTACTTCCTGTGGGGACAGGATGAGACCTCAGCTGGGGCTACCCTCCCTGTCCCTGCCCCCATCTCCCCACCCCGCTCAGGGCAGGCCTCCGCCTCACAGGCACCTACCACAGGGAGGGCCGGTGGGTGATGGAGAGCAGCGCAATGCCTGCGTCCTTGGCCGCCTGGAAGATCTTGCCCTCCACGTCGATGCTTATAGCGCTGGTGCACTCGTCCAGTAGGGCATACTGGGGCCTCGGGTTGCAGGAGGGGAGAGGCTATGGGCCAGGGCTCCTCCAACCTCCCGCCCCGCCTGCGCCTGGATGCAGGCAGCCCAGCCTCACCTGTGGTAGAACATCCGAGCCATGCCGATCCTCTGCTTCTCACCACCAGACAGCACGTCCTTCCAGTCACACAGGGCCTCCCAACCTGTGTAGGCAGGGAGTGCTCAACGCGAGGGCCGGTGTGCATGGGCAGGGTGCCCATAGGGGTCTGGGGAACGGAGACCCCTGGGAACATGGGCACATGTGACTTCAGAGCGGCTCGTCCAGTGGCCCGCTTCTGGTCTGTGTCCTGTCTCTGTCTGTCTGTCTGTCTGTCTGTCTGTCTGTCTGTCTGTCTGTCTGTCTGTCTGTCTCTGGTACTTTGATAACTGAAAATGAGTTGAGTTGGATGTGGTGGCACACACCTGTCATCCCAGCACTTGGGAGGCTGAGGCAGGAAGACTGCAGGGAGTTTGAGGGCAGCCTGCAATGCACAGACCTCTCGAGAAAGAAGGGAAGGCAAGGGGAGGGGAGGGGAAAGGAGAGGAGGGGGGAGGGGAGTGGAGGGAGGAGAAGAGGGAAGAGTGGGGACTGGAACTGGGTCAATGTCAGATGTCTGGAGTCTAGCAGGAGCACTGTGATCACCTAAGGGGGCGTGAGATAAGGCCCAGAAATGTGCACGGAGGAAGAGCCATGAAGGTGCGTGTGGGAAAGAGTTCACTCTGGTGCCAAAGCCCTAAAACATGGGTATGTTCCGGGGATGCCCACGCAGAGCTGGGTAGGTGGGGCAGGCAGGTGGCATCTCCTTCCCTGCTACTTTTTCTTCCAGGGCACCTGGCAGCTCAGCATGAAAACCCTGCTTGCTAGCCTGGCTGGACATGCGCTGTGGTCACGTGTTATACGCACTGCAGCCTGTAGCGCTGTCTTTGAAAGAGAGAAGGAAGCTGGGCATGGTGGTGCACGCCTGTAATCCCACCAGCGGGGAGGCTGAAGCAGGAGGATCCCTGCGAGTTCGAGGTCAGCCTGGGCTACACAGTGACCTCAAGGCCAGCCTGATCCACACACTGAGCCCCTGTCTCAAAACAACAACAACAACAATAACAAATAACAAAACCAAGAGCCAGAAGGTGGCACCTCTTGCCTTTGGCCCTAGTCCTAGCTGAACTCATCCTACCAGGTAGAACGGCAGCTGGAGGATAAGACACAGAGGGCCAGGCCAGGAGATCTGAGCAGGGCCCAGTGCACACAGTGGTGACAAACCACCTCCTGCCCCCACCCCGCTGAGTGGCTGCCTCTAGGAGGAAAGTGGTGGCTTGGTCTGCCCTCTATGTTCCAAGGAGGCAGGGGAAGAGCTCTGCCCAAGGCCATCTTGTCCCTAGCAGGAAGCAGAGGCGTGGTGTACACTTCCCTGAAGACCGAGGACGGCCACTGCCTACCCCCAAAGCCCCAGGCCCACTGCCCTCCTCCAGACAGCGCACGCTGGGGACAACCAGAGTCAGCATCACATCCTAGCCCTTGGCCTGCTGCAACTCTGGCTGACCTGTCACCTCCCTGCTATGCTGTCCTGCCTCACAAATGGGGTAACCGCCCAAAGACTTGCAGGTCTCAGCTCAGAGCTGTCTTTGCTGAGAGAGGGTGATGGGGAGGACATTGAGTGGGGCCAGTACCCCACAGGAAATGCCCTGCCTGCAGTCTCTGGACACTTGGGGCCGCGTGTGTGCCGCGCTGGGGACGGCCGCACCTCCCTCCCGCTGCAGGATGTGGTTCAGGTGCACGATGTCCAGGATGGCTTCCAGCTGCCGCTCCGAGAAGCCCTTACGGCGCATGTCCTCCACCGAGTCTGGGTAGATGACCTGATCACGCAGTGAGCCCACAGACATGTACGGCCTGCAGGGTGTTGGCACAAGCTGTCAGCTCGAGTTCCAGCTGCCATGGAGGCTCCGGCGGCGGACACACACAGCACTTGTGCGCCCTGCCAGCAGCCCCCGCCTCCAAAGAGTGCCTGGGGGGTGCAGCTGGGGCAGGGCACGCCTCACCTCTGTGGGATGTAGAACATGCGCTGCGGCGGGGGCTTGTAGAGGACTCCGCCGTACGTGGGCCACAGCCCGCCCAGGATCCGGAAGAGGGAGCTCTTGCCGCAGCCGTTGGGGCCCGTGATGAGCAGGTGCATGCCCTCTTCCACCTGCGGGAGGGCAGCGCCATTGGCAGGTACTGGTTTTTAAATTAATTAATTTAGTTTTGGTTTTTTGAGATAGGGACTCACTATATAGTCTAGGCTGGCCTTAAACTCACTTTGTAGCCCAGGATGGCATCCAACTCATACCGACCCTCCTGCCTCAGCCGTACCTGGCTTGGGTCTTTTGGCAAGGGATGGAGCCCCAGCTGCATGCCTGTCCTAGCAGGTCGGCCAATGGATGTGACCCGACCCTAACCCTAAGGCCTGACTTGTCCAGAAAGCACAGGGCAGGCACAGGAAAAAGGGCCAGGCATGTCCCAAAACACACAGTGTGCCCCGGGGCCTGCTCGCCTCCTGTTCCACCAGGAATCTCAGCACAACACAGTCCCCACAGGACACCAGGGGGCATGTAGGAGCATGAGGCTGTTCAGCAGCCAGCATCTGGGGACAGAGGTTGCCCAGAGCGACCAGTGCCACTGTCCTTTGACCCTCTTTATCTGCGAATGCCACAGAGAGTGACATTGGGCACGAGGCTCCTGATAAGGGCCTTTGGTTCACCTCAGACAGTTACATGGGTCAAACTGTGCCCCTCCAATTCATATATCAGTCTTAAGGCCCAGTTGCTCAGGTGTGACCCTATTTGGAATTGGAACATCGCAGATATCTTAAGTGACACTGGAAGGGTCCCTCATGCAACACAAATGGTGTCCCTAGGAAAAGGGGCGCTTCATTGTGCTGTGGTGGTACAGAGCTTTGATCCCAGCACTTGGGAGGCTGAGGCAGCAGGGCTTTAAGTTGGATCCCAGGCTGGGCAACTTAGTGACTTAGTGAGACCCTTTCTCAGAGTAAAACTACAGAGCGCTGGAGGTGGAGCTCAGTGGGCAGACCTGGGTCCATTCTCAGCACTGCAGCAGCAACAATGACAATAACAAACAAAAGGAGGGGAGACTCTGCACAGGGAGGGAGAACACGACACAAGGCCCATGCAGCCGCACTGCGATGCCACAGAGCTCCAACGGTCAACAGCAACACTGAAGGCAGGGCCCCTGCTTTATCTCTGGATCCCAGTACCCAGCCCAAAGGTCAAAGTGTATGGCATGAGGTGGCGCGTGCCTGTGTGTCATCTCAGTGCTTGGAAGGCTGAGGCAGGAGGAACTCTGCAAGTTTGAGGTTAGACTGAGCAGATTTTGGTTAACTCACTGAGTTAGTGAGTTTAAGGCCACCCTGAACTAGGTAGTAAGACCCTGTCTCAAAATTAAAAAACAGGGGCTGGGAAGATGGCTCAGTGGAATAAGCGCTTCCCTGGCAAGTGCAAGGGCTTAAGTTCAATCCCCGGTTCCACAAAAAAAAAAAAAAAAAAAATTAAAAAACAAGGCAGAGTGTGGTGGTACGTGCCTGTGGGATCCCAGCACTAGGGAGGCTGAGGCAGGAGATCTCTGCGAGTTTGAGGCCAGCCTGGGCTACATAGTGAGGTCAAGTTCTGCCTGAACTACACAATGAGACCCTGTCTCAAAAACTAAAACAAAAAAAAAAAAAAGACAAACAAGCAACTCTCCCCCCAAACCAAAAAAAATCGTCTTCTACACAATCATTTACTTAAACTGCAGGCGGCCCAAGGTGTACTCTGAGTGCAGGCAGACTGCGCGCTAGGACACATCCTGCCCTAGCCTGTCCTGGCGACCGTGCTGCAGCGCTGTCTTGGGTTCTCTCCACCAGCCCTGGGGCTGCTCTGCTGTGGCCCATGCTCTTCCGGTCCGCAGCAGCAGCAGCAGCGGCAGCGTGTCTTCCCCTTCTGTGGCTCAGCTGTAACCCAGGCCTGGACGGGGAGCACCTGGTGATCCTTCTCCTTGCCTCTGCAGGGCTGGCAGTGCTCCCAGGGACAGCTCTGTGTCCACCACAGGCCTTGTGCTGGGCTGCCCACAGTGGACAGACAGGGCCGTGGGCTGGACACCAGAGTGGCTCACGTGAGCCAGCGGCAGTGTCACTGTCTGCAGCTGCAGGGCAAGCACAGCCCCAAGTCTGACCCTCTTCGGAGGCTGGGACCCAACAGTGCCTAGACCAGCACATGTGGGTAACCTTTGGCCAGCTTTCGTGACTGTGAGCCTCTTCAGCAGCTCTGACCATCACCCCAGCATGCACTGCCAGGGACATATCACCTCTCCCCTCGACCTTGTCCCATCTGCCACGCAGATCTGGGGACAAGGGCTATCGCCAGCAGGGCCAGGCGACTAGCCAAGGCCTAGCCTTCGAGATACAGGTGTGTCCCCAGGTGCCTGAGTCCCGCCCCACCTGCCCCATGCTGCCTACCCGGATGTTGAGGCTGGACACCACCACCTCTCCTGCAGGTGTGATGATGGGGATGTTCTCGCAGATGATGCCCTGCTCTACGTCCACCACCTGGCCTGCAGGGGAGGCAAGGAAGGTGAGGCATGGCATCCATGGACCCCGGGAGCCCTGGAAACAGCGCAGCCTGCAGGAGCTGAGCCCAGGGTCCTGGGCCGCTCCATCTGTCCTGTGGAACCTGAGCCCAGAGCCGCCTGTTCAGCCGCACTCTCACCTGGTCCCATCTCCAAATTGGACAAGGTAGCACAAAGCCTGTCATCCTAGCACTGGGGAAACTGAGGCATGAGGACTACCCTGAGTGCCAGGCCAGCCTGAACTTTCTGAGAGTCATGAGACAAAGTTGTGAGACTTGGTCTTACCCCAGTCCCAATGGCTAACACCAAGAACACAAAATCTGCACACCAGTCATCTCGCTCCTGAGAGGCTGAGGCAGGAGGATCTCTGCAGTGCTAGGCCAGCCTGGGCTACACAGTGAGGTCAAGGCCAGCCTGTGCTATGCAGCAAGACCCTGTCTCAAAAAGCCACCCCCCCCAAATAAAGGCAGCTCCCATGCCGGGCCCATCTGCCACACTCAGCTGGCTGGCTTCCTCCTCTGTGGCTCGCCTCAAGTCCTTGGGATGGGGCTGGGCAGTGGGTAGAGCCACCTACCCTGGATGCGCAGGGGCCCTTCCACGCGGACACCGGAGCGCACTATGGCCCCTGTCCCCGCCTGCGTGTCCTCCGGCTCCCCAGGCCGCTTGAAGCGACAGTGCTGGACATCTTCAAACACTTGGAACATCTCATGCACGCGTGCCGTGTAGCCGGCCAGCTCCGTCACCTCCTTGTAGGACGACATGATGCGCTCGGTGGCATCTGCTGCAGCTGTGAGCAGGTTGCGTGCAATGGTGAAGGCCTCCGTGCGCTCGCTCACCAGCTCCTCCTCCCTCATCGCCAGGGCGGCCCTCTTCGTGGCCTCCGAGTCTGCACGGAAACAGGGGAGGTCACAGGGCCACCCTGAAGAGGACACCTGGCCTACCCCGGCCATCAAGGGGAGGTGATTCTCGTCCTACCCCAGTCCCAATGGCTAACACCAAGAACACAAAATCTGCACACCAGTCATCTCGCGCCTGAGAGGCTGAGGCAGGAGGATCTCTGCAGTGCTAGGCCAGCCTGGGCTACACAGCGAGGTCAAGGCCAGCCTGTGCTATGCAGCAAGACCCTGTCTCAAAAAGCCACCTACGCACACACAGCACGGCACACAAAACAACAAATGCAAACAAAACAAAGCAAGTGCTCACGAGGTTGTGGGGGGAGTGTAGCCTGCTGCAAACACTGCGCAGGTCAGTATGGAGAGGCCTCCAATACCCTCGAAATCCCACTCGACCCAGCCACTCCCCTTCTAGTGTCTTCCAGAAAGAGCTGGAGACAGCACGTCACAGTGGCCTACGCGTGCGTGTTGACGGCAGCACAGCTCAGGACACGTAAGCCTGGAAGTGGCCGACACGGCCATCAGCAGGAGCGTGGAGAAGGAAGACGCCCTCACGCACGATGGGGACAGGGTCTGCAACAGGAAGGGTCAGCTTGGGTCCAGGAAGGCAATGGGTGCGCCTGCAGACACGGCGCTAGGTGAAACCATGAGCTGCACGAGGGTGACTCTCACGTGGTTCTTGTGCGTGAGACAGCCAACACTCAGATACAACAAAGAAAACAATAAAGGAGCGAGGGCAGGCCAGGTGCCAGCCATGTCTGAAAGTTCCATAATGTTAAATGATGATCCAGTATAAGAGAAACCGAAGGTCTGCTACAGGGATTTAGAAAAGCAATAATCCTTATCAGTCCTTAATAGCTTCTTCCTTTAGGAATGTACATTTTGTTTTTTAATTAATTGATTTTGGTCTTTTTTGGGAGATAGGCTCTCACTATGCAGTTCACACTGGCAATGAACTCATTATGTAGCTCAGGGCTGTCCTCCTGCCTCAGCCTCCAGAGTGCTGGAATGACAGCTGGACGCCACACTGTCCCACTTAATTTTGGTCTTTTTTGAGCCACGGTCTCACTACGTATCCCAGGCTGGCCTGCTTCAAACTCTCAGTGATCGTCCTGCCTCAGCCTCTCAAGTGTCAGGATGACAGCTGTGTGCCCCCATGCCCAGTGAGTCCTGCAAGTCTTACATTTTTTTTCTTATGTGTTTGGTACAAGGTCTCACTACACAGCTCAGACTCGTAGTGATCCTCCTGTTTTCAGCCTCCTCAGCACTGGGATTACAGGTGTGCACCACCAGGCCCGTCCTCGGTGGCTGCTCAGCGCGCCTGGGTGCGGGGCCGGAGCAGCATGTGGTGCTGAGGGATCGAACCCCAGTCCCTGCGCTTGCCTAAGTAGGCACGTAGTCTGCCGAGTTATCTTGCTGGTCCTGCAAATCTTTTCTGTGAGGCAAGAATCTACCAAGGGTGAGGTGAGGACCCCTGTGTCTTTGGGGGACTTCTTCAAAGCCCATCCAGTGACAAAATCACTCACTAAAATGAGCTCCAAAGGGTTTCCAGCTTGACATACAAGAAGAAAATGGCTGAGCTCTATGCCCTTGCTACGGCACTAGTACTGGGAAGTCTACAGAAACTTCACTGAGCCCCAGCACTGTGGGGCTCAGCACTTTGCCCTTCTCAGGGAAGGGAAAAGACAAAGGAGACTGCGACAAATGGTCCATAAATGGTGTGACGTGGAGGAGTGGCAGCTGAAACACAAAGCCTTTCCCAATTCGAAAAGAAAGAAGAGAAAGGGACGTGTAGCTCAACCCAGCAGTGGTAAATGGTCAGGACAGACCCTCGACAAGAAGAGATACAGCGGGCCGTGGTGGCACATGCCTGTCATCCCAGCACTTGGGAGGCTGACTCCGGAGGACTGCTGTGAGTTCTAGGGCTACATGGCAGGATCCTGTCTCAAAAAATTAAAAAACAAAACCCAAATAGCCAATGAACTCACGAACAGATGCTGAACACCATCAGTCGCCAAGGAAATGCACATCACTGCCTCCACCACGGGCAGCAAGGGGCCCACAGCCATGGCTACGGGGACAGAGGGCACAGCTGCTTGGAATGTGCCTGGTGGCTCCTCCAAGGCCAACGCCAAGTAACACACACCTCCCATTCCTCCCGAGCCAGACACCCAGGAGAAACCTTGCCCAGCCTCCAGTGACTGTCCACTGTGCCCCAGACGGTCAACAGCTGCCACATGCCCGAAAGATGAATGGATGGATGGATGGATGGATGGATGGATAGATGGAACATGGGTAAAGTTGGGGATGGATGGATGAAGAGAGGATGGGTAAAGATCAGAGATGGATGGATGGATACATAGATGGAACATGGGTAAAGTTGGGGATGGATGGATGAAGAGAGGATGGGTAAAGATCAGAGATGGATGGATGGATACATAGATGGAACATGGGTAAAGTTGGGGATGGATGGATGAAGAGAGGATGGGTAAAGATCAGAGATGGATGGATGGATACATAGATGGGTAAAGGGGGGGATGGAGGGATGCATGGATGGACGAAGGTGGTGGGGGAGGCGGCGGGCTATGTGTGTGGCATATGGCTGAGCTCCATGAAGGAGGGAAGGCTCTCCCACCCACAAAGCCAGCACAGGATATCCTGGACACGGTCATGACAGTGGGAGAGGTTGGCACCAAGGGCACACAGCAAGACTCCATTCCTCTGAGCTGTCTGCACCACACAAACCAAGAGACAGAAAGTACACTAGTGACTGCCCGCACTGGGCAAAGAGGAACTGGGGAGGGACCCACGATGGCTCTGCAGCTCTTCCTCCTCCTTGTTGTCTTTTTTGAGACAGGGTCTCATTATGTAGTTCAGGCTGGCCTACAGCTCACTTTGTAGCCCAGGCTGGTCTCAACTCACAACGATCCTCCTGCCTCAGCCTCCCAAGTGCTGGGATTACAGGTACACACCACTACACCTGGCTGCACTTTCTTTTTGGGGTGTAAAAGTGTTCTAGATGAAGTGGTGGTGCATGCCCATAATTGCAGCACTTGGGAGGCAAAGGCAGGAGGATCAAGGGCAGCCTGGACTACATAGTGAGACACTGCCTCAAAGGAAAAAAAATTCACTGTCCCCTGCAGGTCCCCCTGGGGCCTAGCTGCGGTGTCCACTAGCAGTCCAGGAGCCCTCAATCCCCTGTCGTGGGGCCTAGCAGGCACAGGGCAGCCAGCTCACAGTGAGAAGAGGGCAGGGAGGGAGAGAGGGGGGCTCCAGAAATGAACTGGGCTGACACACACAGGACCGGAAACTCTCTTGCTGCTCGTCTGGACAGAGCTTAACAGCGCTGGGCCAGGACTGGTAGCACGAGCTTGCCATCCCAGCTACTTGGGAGGCTGAGGCAGGAGGACTGCACGATGGAGGCCAGCCTGCACCGCACGATGAGGCCCCATCTCAAAATAAAAAATAAAATGGGCTTGGAATGCAGCTCAGTGCAAAGGCCCTGGCTTCGATCCTCAATATTAAAGGAAAAGAAGGAACTTCCATGCCTGGGTTGAAGCGAGCAGCACACTGTGTGTGCGGCCACAGGCAGCAGAACGTCAGCTACCAGGTCTGAGTGCTGAGCAGAGGCGTGGAGGAAGTAGGCTGGGACGATGGGCGGCCGGAGGAAGATCAGTTACGACACTCAGAAAAGCTTTAAATTTCTACTTGAAAAAGCAAAGTTCTATTTTCAAATTTCCAGTTAGAAGAGAATCAATTAGAACTTAGAGGAATAGTCACTGAAATGTAAAAATAAATTCAAGACCAGGGTGTGGGGGCACCCACCTGCCATCCCAGCACTCAGGAAGCTGAGGCAGGAGATCACTGGGAGCTCGACGCCTGCCTGGGCTACACAGTGACACCCTGTCTCAGAAACCAAACAAAACTCAAGACCTTCACATTTGAGGTGCCTGAACACTGGCAAATGGCAGAATTAGTGAGTGCGAAGCACCCCAGCATGCTGGCACTCGCAGCGGAGCACGGGAGGGACACAGATCTCGGCAGCACATACACAACACAGCCTAAACATTGTAGCAAAACTGAAGGCTGCCACGAAGGCAGATGGGAAAGGTACCCAGGCGGGCGGGCGGGCGAAGACTCAAGATAAGGCTTTCCCACAGCTAGGGCAGGAGCTACAAGACAATGGGGTATTGTCCCAAGGCTGACAGAAATTGGCCATCCACCTCCGGTTCTCTCCCAATCTAACTTCTTTTCCTTTTCTTTTTTTTTTTTTAATGTATTTAGTACAGGGTCTACAGGTTCTCACTATACAGCTTGGACTCGTAGCAGTCCTCTTGTTTTCAGCCTGCCAAGCACTGGGATTGCAGGAGCATGCCACCACACCCAGTCTCAGTGGCTGTCTCAGTGTGCCCTGGGGGTGGGGCCGCCATGGCAGGCAGAGGATCCAACCCTGGTCCCTGTGCCTGTCTAAGCAGGCACTCTAGTCGGCTGAGCTATCTGGCCGGCCCTTTAACTTCTTTTTCTTTTCCCCCTGGAAGAAGGTCTTATTATGTCGTACAGGCTGGCCTTGAACTCAGAGATCCTCCTGCCTTAGCCTCCCCAGTGCTGAGGTCATATGCATGCACAACATGCCAGACTCGCAAGCTGACTTGAACTCAGGAATTGAGGTAAAATAATACTTTTTGACAATAAAATAATTGCAAGTGGGTCCTGTGACAATACCCCTGAATCTCGTTTGTCTGGAAGAACAAAATGGGACACAGGGAAGACTGACGTATAAAGATAGGGCTCTGAGCTGGAAAATCATACACACACAAGTAGGTTTACATACTCAGCCACTGGATTAATGCAGCAGCTAGGATAAAAACCAGACAAAGCCAGGCACAGTGGTACATGCCTGTCATCCCAGCACCTGAGAGGCTGAGGCAGAGCAGTGCCAGGAGCTCAAGGCCAGCCTTGAGTTACATAGTGAGTTAAGGCTAGTATGAACTATATAATGGACCCTGTCTCAAAAAGACAAAAAAAAAAAAAAAAAAGATAAAACCACGTAGAAACCACCTTCATGCTGGCCTGAAACACATGTACAAGGCCAAGGAGGAGGGGAGCTATTGGTCATTAAGAATGCACAGTGACCTTCATCACAAGGGTGACCATGGAGAGACTGGAAAGGGACTGAAACAGCTGCAAAGCAGTGGCGAGACAAATGGAAAAAAAGGCCGGCCTACTGTCCCTGAATCATGGGCACCACTGGCTTCGTGTCCCACCACAGGCTGGAGGGAAAGGCAAGGCAGGCTGCTGAGGGCTCACCTGGAGGCTCCGGCATCCTCCTGTGACAGAGCCAGGCAGGCAGGCAGAGAACACGGACCAGAGGGAGGCAGCGGACCCACTTCTGGTAATGCCAACAGAGCTCTCACCTGACTCTGAGTAGCCAGTGGCAGTGATGATGGGGACAGCCACCATGAGCAGGCCTGAGGCACTCCACACGTACTTCATGAGGAACTGCTCGAGCATGACGTACCACAGGCGCTCCAGCAGGATCGCGTTGATCTGTGCCGCCAGGGCGCGGTAGCAGTCCCGCAGCAGCGCCAGCTCCACCTGCCCAAGGGAGGGAGGGTGACACAAGCTGCTCATGTCTGCTGTGCCATCAGACACCAGGACAGGACCATGTGTGGACTGGGGTTACAACTGGGGAGGGGTTCCTGTCCTTGTTCCCGCTATCTCATCATCTCCCCACTTTTTTTTTTTTTTTTTTTTTGAAACAGAATGTGGCTATGCAGTACAAGCTGGCCTCGAACTCCCTGTGTAGCACAGGATGGCCTGGAACTTGAAATCCTCCTGCCTCAGCCTCCCAACTGCTAAGATGACAGGTGTGTGCCACCACACCCAGCATACTACTCTCCTTTGTACACTGGCAGCTTTTGAATGCACTCAAGGCAGTCACTGTCCTGTCCCTGCTGAGCCTGTGTCTTAGGGCCCTCTCTAGGCCCTCCTCCTGTCCCTGCTCTCAGGCTTCATCCACCCTGTCCTGTGAATCCTCAGCTCAAGCTTAGGTACCTGGCACGACACAAAGGGAGGCAGAAAGAGTGGAAGGGGCTGGCTGGGCTCTGCCTGCCCAGGCCAAACCTCCCTCTGCTTTGCAGAACTGCTGTCCGTGGGAAGCTCGAATTGCATTTTCCCACAGAAGCCAGGAGAGTCCTCCTCAGCACCACACTGGCCTTCCCTGACCTGGCCACCATCTGCTATGCTAGAAGGGGACAGATGTCTCTGTGGGGAGGAGGGGCAGCAGTGGTGAGGCAGGCAGGAGAGGCCAGAGGTACGGGGTTTGTAGCATGGTGACTGTGGGCCCCGGGGGTTGCCCTATTCCTGCCTAGTGCCAGCTCAGCACTGTCTGTCACCCTCATGTCCTCGGAAGGACACTGGGGCCCAGAGACAGAGTGACCTGCCTAAGCTTGCACCACCGCCTGGAGGGGGCAAATGTGGCAGGAATGTGGGCCACACTGGTGGGGCTGCTAGGGCCGGATCCTTATAAAGGGTGCTTTGACTGATTGAGAAAGGGTTACTTTGTTCTCAGCAAGAGGTTGTATGCATGTGTGGATTTCAATAAGCAGCCTGGCCAGGCACCCTAGTGCATGCCCATCATCCCAGAGGCTGAGGCAGAAGAGTCACTGAGAGTTCGGGACCAGCCTAGACTAGGTAGTCAGTTCAAGACAGCGTGAAAGGGGCAAACTCCATCTCAGAAAAAGAAAGCAAAAATAAGCAGCCTCACCGAACTCCTACACAGAAGAGACTATTCTGCTGTCTGCCCTCACCTACTGACCTGTGTCTACGCTGGAACTCATGGGGACATCTGCCAGTACACATGCCTGTACAAGGGCCATCAAGCCAGCTGTGGGGCTGTCACGGCACAAGGAAGACCACAGTCAGGCCCTGGATGTACCTGGGCCCTCTGCCCTGGCAAGTGAGGTTTCTGGGCGAACCTGCTACTTCCTGAAGCTGGCCTGAGGAAGTCCTGAGAACCTTTGCTCTCTTGTGCTCCTGGCACCGTGCTGTGCTGGCACAGCGGGCTTTGCCCAGGCCCAGGCTCCTGGTCCTGAGGGAGCGCATCCCCTGTGAGCACCCGGGGAGCCTTGCTAGTGCTGGGAGTGGCAGGAGTGCCAGCCAAGGCTGTGATGGAGCTGTGAGAGGACCTTGCCAAGCGTCTCGCCTGAGGCCACAGCCGCCTGCCAACCCCCAAAGAGAGCAGCAAAGGGGCACTGCCTAAGGCCACACTTTTCCTCTTAATCTGAAACCTGGCTCCGCCCCAGATGTCTTTTCTGTGCTCAGGGATAAGCTTTGCTTTAAAAAATCAGACAGGCAAGCCGGCTTCTGGGCGACGCAAAGTCTCTGGGGTCCAGGCTCCCCAACGGGCCCAGGAACAACCAGGCCTTGGGAGTTGGAGCTGGCCGCCACAGCCCCCACCCCCCACCCGCCGCGCATTCGGGGAACTGAAACTGGAGTTTCCGAGGAGAGCAGAGCCTGAGGCAGCTGCGGCCCCAGGCATGAGGAAGAGGTGGGGCGGGGCGGTAGCTAGCTAAAGGCCAGGCCCCGGGTAACCTTCTTAGGGCCGGGCCGCTAGGCCCCTAGCACACCCCGAAGTTGTGTGTGTGCTCACAGCAGGGGCGGAAGGGCGGCCACGCAGGAGGCAGGGCTGCTGCTGGGTGGGCAGGAAGTGTCCTGAAGCAGTGGCAGCTGAGGCCGGCAGCCTCGATCCAGGACCTCCCGGAGGCTGCTCGGCAGTTAGGCCCGGAGCTCTGAAGGCCTTGACCCTGAGTACTGCCGCCACTGTGGCCCCTGAGCTGGGCGCTGCTCATTAACCTCCGCTTGGGCTGAGTCATGCCTATAATGCCCGCCTGTCCAGCCAGCCAGCTGTGCCGGACGCTGGCCTTCAAAGGCCCCGGGACGCAGCAGAGGCTGGGCAGCAGGCTGGGGCCAGCAGCACTGCTCTGGGCTGGCAGGGGCTCTGGCTGGCTGAGCCAGAGCACAGAAGCAGAAGTGAACTGGGGCTCGGGGCAGCCTACACAGGACAGTTCCCGCCCAGCTGGGCCACTTCTCCATTCCCACCATCCCCACCTCCCCTCCCAGGCTGCACACCCCTCCAGCCTTAGCCCTGGCCTCCCAGGACCGTGCCCCACCTCGTGGCCCCCATAGAAGGCGATCTCCTCCGAGTTGGCCACCACGCGAGAGTGCATGTAGCGCAGCTCCCCTTTCCGTCGTGCCTCCTCGGCCACCAGCTCCCCAAACTTGGGCGAGAAGGCCCGCAGCACGTTGGCCGTGAGGAACACCACGAGGCCTGCGATGGCTGAGGGCCATGCTGTGCCGGCCCCACGGGAGCGCGCTGCCCGGATGAGAGTGTAGGAGGTCACGGCCACGTCCAGCAGTGGCTTGGTCAGGTTGGAGTAGAGGTGGGCCACAGAGGCGGCGAAGGCCACTAGGTCCTCCGTCAAAGACTGGTCGGGGTTACGGAGCCGCCCGTCCATGTTGCTCACGCGGTAGTAGGTCTGCTGCGAGAAGTAGAGGCTGTAGGCATGGGCCACGAGACGACTGCGAAAGGACAGGGCTAGCTGACCCTCCAGGTAGCGGATGGCGCTGTTGATGAAGGTGGCAGGCAGCGCAATGAGCAGCCACTGCAGGAGCTGCCAGCCGAAGGCGCGAGGGTCCTTGCGCACGATGCAGCGAGCCAGCCGGCCGTCCAGGCGGGCCACGTACACGGAGAGGAAGGTCCGGCTCACCAGCGCAGCCGAGTGCAATGCCAGCAGCCCGGTCTCCCGGCACAGGACCCTGGGGAACAGCAGCCGCAGAAGCACCAGAAGCCGCCGCAGGAACACCCGGTTCATGCCAGCCTTGGCTGTAGTGGGCCCCAGGGTCTCCTGTGGGGACTCCCCGGCCGGGCCCTGAGGACCCCTGGCTGGGGCCAGACACTGGCGCACCAGAGGGTAGAGTTTGTGGGCTCCATAGGCAGTGAGCGCCAAGACCACCGCTGTGCGCCTCAGTGTGGTCACCCGCGAGGACCTTGGGGTGGAGAGCACCGGCATGTCACCTGGTGTCCAAGGCGGCGGCGGCGGCAGCAGCAGCAGCAGCAGCAGCAGCAGCAGCGGAGGCAGGTGCTAGAAGAGCTGTTGCTCTGAGCCGGGGCTCGTTGTCTAGGCAACTGGAAACCTTGCAGTGGTCCCAGAGACTGTCGCTTTGGGCCCCTGGGATGGTGACAGCGGACTTGGTGTGGTGGCCTCAGAGCCCTCCAGGGTCGTGGCCTCTTCAGGCAGCTCAGCTGCTGCAGGAGCTTGGCTTCTCTGTCCCCTAGCCCCTGAGGTAAGAGCCTCCAGAGGTCTGGGCAGAGAGGGCGTTTTTCCCTCCTTCTCCTCCCCCGGCGGCGCCCCTCCCCGGGGCACCGGGTACGTCCGTCCCGCAGCCTGCTCAAGCAACAGTGACTCCGCCACTGGCCCAGAATCCCCACCCACCCAACCCTCCCCGAGGGGCGAGCCCGGGAAGGGGAGGAGGCAGACGAGGGGCGGGAGGCGGAGTTCGGGCACCAGGCGCCCCACCCCGTTCTCACCTCTAAGACGGCCCGGCCCCACCCCTCAACCACAGAGACGAGAGCCCAGTATGCAGGCTAGAGAAGCAACTCTCGCCTTCCCGCCAAGGCTCCGCCCTGCCTCGCCCCGCCCCGCCCCGCCCCGCCCCGCCCCGCTCCGCCCCTGGACCTCCAAAGCGCTTCAGGGGCCGGGCGGGGCGGAAGCGGTCCTGGGCGGAGCTGCCAGGGCCTCGCGAGGATTGGTGGGCGGGGTCCGGCGGGCGCTTCCGGTTTCCGGTTGCGGAGTAAGGGGCGGGGCAGGGGCTGAGGTGGGAGAGTTTGGTGTCTGCGGCTGGGCGTGCGCGGTGACTGTGAGAACCTTGGTGAGCAGGGGTCCTTGCGCCAGCCTGGAACCCTGGGACCCCGGGCCACCGGGGCCGCCCGGGGCGCTGGCCATGGAGCTTCTCTTGGCCCATCGCCCAACTGGAGGAACGAACACTGCGGAGGGAACGGGGCTCTGAGGAGGTTTTTGGCTGAGGGCCGACCGGCGCGTGCGGGTCGGGTGGGGCCGAACAGAGGGAAATGGGGGCTGCGGCGGGGATAGGGACGGTCTTGCGCGGTGCGGCCGCGGGGATAAGGCCGGGGACCCTGGTGAAGCTGCACCCAGAGGCGTGGGGGCGTGGGCCCGGGGGGAGGGCATGCCGAGCCGCGGCCACAGGGGTCCCCTGGTACCTCGCTGGCCCTCAAGCTGGGTGGCGCGGTGGCCTGCTGGGAGCTTGCACTGGTTTCGGAGAAGAGCCGCTGTTTTGAGAACTTTCTCGGGACAAGGCCTCGAGGTGCTCAGTGTAGGCGTGCATTTACTCTTGGCCCTTGCCCCTGGCCTCTAGGAGTCGCTCTTGTGGGCGACTGGGAGGCACCTGAGGCCTCTGGCCCCATCAGAGGCAGGGGGAGCAGTCGGGAGCTTTTTCACTCTATCATAAGGGCTGGGCAGGAGCAGTGATCGGGGACGGTAGTCTCTGAAATGGTGTGTCCCCAGGGAGGCTGCAGCAGGACTTTGCAAAGTGCCCAGCTCCTGCACTAGAGCGTACTTGCCTGAGCTGGGAGCCGGATGGGTGCTCCTATGCTTTTGTCTGTACAAGGTGCCATCTTACTCAAACAGGCTTCAGAAGTCTCCTGCACTCCCCAGGGAAAGAAAGTATCCACAGAATGGCTGTGGATGTGTTCACAAACCCGATGGAGAGGGGCAAGTGGCTTCCAGCAAGTGGAAGTTTGGGGGTTGATGGCCCAGCTCAGTGCAGCCCTCATAGCCAGGGCTTTGGAGCTGGTCCAGGGTGACCCCAGCCTCCTGGGGTGCTAAACTGGCTGCTCAGCCTCATGGTCCTCCTACACCCTCTGTGCCTTGCCAGGAACGAAGCTCGCAACTCTCTGGTGGAAACCTTGTCACAGGATGAGTCTGCAGTGGACTGCAGTTGCCACATTCCTCTATGCGGAAGTCTTCGCGGTGTTGCTCCTCTGCATTCCCTTCATTTCGCCCAGAAGGTGCAGCATGGAGAGGGCAGGGGAGAATCGGGAGGTGCCCAGCTCTGATCTCTGTAGCCTGTGTGTGTGCAGAGCCAGGGGACCCTGGAACTGGGGCGAGGTGGAAACAGGTAGAACCTGTCCAAGACTCGGGGTAGCAGGGGGGTGGTTTTGACTGCCTCCACATCTTGCTGAGTTCCCTTCCTGTGCACCATGTATTTTGGTCTCCAGAATGGTCTGAAAGGAGGGTGCCACACTGTTTTGGAGGCCACACCCTCCTACCTCACTGCTGCAGGCACCTTGGACTGCGTGGGATGGGATGGCCCTGGGCAGGGAACGCTTGCACCACCTTGTTGCTGCTTGGCTGACTTCTGTCCTCCTTACCAGCCTCGAAGGCATTGCGCAGTAACCTTGTGAGCATTACTCAGCCTAGAAGGATAGGCCAGAGGATTTGGTAAAAGTTGATAGAAGATTAATTTTTAAATTTTACACAGACATACATTTTTCCTGTTTAAACTAGAGTGTTACAAATGAGACTAACTCACACATATGTTTAAGAAGGTTTTAAATGAAAAACACAGACCCCTAAGGAGTAGTTTTGTGGAAGAAACAGCCTGCAATTCAGAGAAAATGGAGCCAACCCTGCAGAGCTTTGTAGGACAAACAACCTGGTTCCTGCACAAAGTCAGTTGAAAAAGGAAACAAAAGGGGAAAGGAAGGAGAATGAAAGAATAAAACACACTTGAGACACAATAGATGGCAAGTTGATGGGGATTTTGGCCAGCCATTGCCAAGTGTGATGACTGGGCTCTCCAGCTCTGCCTCTAGAGGCCAGGCTGCCTTTGATTTCCCAGTGCACAGGCACTTCTGAAGGCTCTTCTCAGGGCTCCCATTCTGAAGGGTCTAGGCAGAAATGCTGAAAGGTCTAGGGTCCCTTACAGTAACCCAGGGTGGTGGAGGACTAGACAGACTAAGGTTTATTGTATAGAAGGATAATTAAAAGAAATAGCCCGTGTATGTGGCGGGCACTTCAAATACTCCAAAAGGAGAATGACAAGGTTTCTTCTTAACATTGTTTCCTTGGGTTGCTATACACAGACAGGCTCCTCTTTCTGAGGTGCTGCTGCAGAGACGGTAAATTGTTGAATCAGCAGCAGCTGAGGCTGTCTGTACCTCTACAGCTTCTCTGCCTTTTATTTCCTTCCTAGATGGCAGAAGATTTTCAAATCTCGCCTGGTGGAGCTGGTGGTCAGCTATGGTAATACCTTTTTTGTGGTTCTCATTGTCATCCTAGTGTTGCTGCTCCTTGGTAAGTAACCCAAACCCACTCTGTGCCGTGCGGGGTTGGGATACTCTGCTGCAAAACTCTATAAAGAGAATGGCTGCTGCTGCCCTAGAGAGAGGCCGATCGCACATCCATTTCTCTCACGGAAAAGGTTCACTATTCATTAAGAGGCGCCAGCATGCTGGCTGCTGGCAGGGCCTCACCTGTGAGCAGCACCTCTGCCAGACGGCGTCCACCCTTAGCTTCTGTTCTGGAGGTGGCTCCTCAGGGCTCTTGAGCAGATGCTGAGAGAAGCCAATTGCCCTGAGTAGTGCTGCTCTCTCGTTCCCTACAAGTACATTTTTCCCCCTGAAGTCAAAGTGGACTCTCAGGAGACAAAATGACCTGAGTTACCTGCAGAGGGGAGCCATGTTTCAGGAAAGGAGCCGGCACTTCTAGGGGACTGGACAGCTGACTTAAAAGCAAGTGTTGGGGCTTGAGGTGTCCCATCCCTGTCTCTTCTTGGCTGGCCCCCATGATGGTACTTAAGAGTCCATTTTGGGTTTTTTTGGTACTGGGAATTGAACTTAGGACTCTGCATTTGCCAGGCAGGTGCTGTATCCCTGGCCCCAAGGTGGTACTTAGGATGCTGGGATTCCTGGAAATGGTTGACAGTGTAGGAAATCATTAATTTTTTTTCCTGAAAAAATGATTTTTATTGGTACATTTTAGGTATATATAATGATAACATTCATCATAGAGAATTTGTACCTGTACATTATAGAACTTATGGAAATCATAGGTGATTTGTTTTGTTTTGGTCTATGCAGTTTAGGCTGGCCTTGAGCTGACTTTTTGTAGCTTAGGCTAGTCTTAAACTTGCAATAATCCTCCTGCTTCAGCCTCCTGTATGCTGGGATTACAGGCATGTGCCATCATGCCCAGCTAATTAGTTTTTCTTTTTTATGTTGTTTTTCTGACTATAAAAATGATACATGATTAGCCATGTATGGTGGCACATGCCTGTAATCCCAGCACTCAGGAGGCAGAGGCAGGAGGATTGCTGTGAGGTCACCCCCATGAACTGCTCCTGAGGCCATTTCAGTATATGTACTGCCAAAGCAAGCACATGAGAGCCTGTTTCTTTTTCTTTTTTTGTGGAACTGGGGATTGAACTTGGGCCCTTGTGCTTTTGACAGCCTGTTTCAAAACAAACAATGGTGCATATTTTTCAAAAATGCAGAATTCGAACATAGTTATAGTCCCTCATAATCTCATGTCCCACAGGCAACAATTGGGAGTACTTTGTGATAGAGTATTTTTGGATGGCGAGGCAGAAGGAAAAAGGGAAAGGCACTTTATTATCTTTGTTTGAGGACATGAAGAGAATCTAGGGAAGATAAGCTGATTCTCTGAACTGGAACAAAGGGAGGCCGAGGCTTTTATGGCCTTTTGCTGGGGTGGGGTTCGAGGGGATGTTTAAATAGACCTGAGGAGCTGAGTGGGGTCTTCCCTGAGGTGGCGGGAAAGGTGAGAGGAAACGGTACCTTGGGCTGAGCTGGAGAAGAAGTGGGGAGGGGTCTCTGGGAAGATAAGCTGCTGTTTTAAGGGCTTCAGCCATATTAGATGACCACCATCATAATTCAGCAATTCATACTAGAGCCAGAACCTATCACTTTTTTTTCCCCTCTGTATTTAAGACAGGGTCTACAGGGTCTCACTACGTAGATCGAACTCATAGTGATTCTCCTGTTTTCAGCCTCCCAAGTGCTGGGATTACAGGTGCACGCCACCACGCCCAGTCTCAATCACCATCTCAGGGTGCCCTGTGGGCGGGGCCGGCATGCCACGCCAGGGATCAAGCCCTGGCCACTGTGCCCTGCCCGAGCAGGCGCTTTAGTCCACTGAGCTATCAGGCCCACCCTTCACTTTGGTTTTTCTTTTTCTTTTCTTTTTTTTTTTTTTTGAGACCGGGTCCTGCTATGTAGTAGTGCAGGCTGTCCTTGAACTCGCAGCTGTCTTCCTGCTTCAGCCTTGAATATGTGCTATACATCGAAATGTTTATGGCACTGGGATAATATACATACTGTTGTAGGTCTTGTTTTTTCTGCTTTGTGTCCCTTAGTTTTTTAAAAAAGTTATTTATTTTATGGGCTGGTGAGATGGCTCAGTGGTCTAAAGCACCTACTTAGAACAAGCTAAGCCAAGCAAAGCACAGGGACCGCGGTTCAATCCCCCAGCACCACATGCCAGCCAGCCCCGCCCCCTGGTGGGCTGAGCTGGCCACACACACACAAATAAACAAATAAATAAATAATAATAAAAAAAAGTTTTAAAGAAAACTAAGACCCTGTCCCAAACCAGAAATTCTGAGCTGAACAGCACCTAGCCATTATCTTATTTTTTACCCCCTAGTTTTGGGGATTGAGCCCAGGGTCTTTGCACTGAGCTGTGCCTCAGCCCTTTTTTAGTTTTTAGTTGTTTTTTTTTTTAATGAGCAGAATATATTTATTGAGGGAAAGGAAGCTCCTCTCTAAGAGAGGGACAGGAGAGGGGCCCAAGAGGGTTGTTCATCTAGTTTTTGTTTTGAGACAGTGTCTTGCCAAGTTGCTCAGACTGGGCTCAAAGTTAAATCCTTCTGCCTCAGCCTCCTAGAGTGCCAGCAGTGTAGGTGTATGCCACTGCGCCTTGCTTTGTTGCCCTCCACCTGTGCCATGTTCCCAGCCCTAGACTGTGGCATCTTGCCCCTTTCACACGGGGGTTTGTCAGGAGCCTTTTTCAGGTACACCTTTACTGACATAAAAGCTATTCTGGTTAGTGGGGCCAAGCACAATGGTTCCCTTTCCGCATTTCCTGGGACATGTGTGGCTAAACTGAGGTACTGTGTGTGAGACCGTGGCTCTTCAGGAGCAGAGGCTGTGCCTTTAGTCACTGTGTGCTCAGAACTGTGCCAGTCCCCGGGGAGATAGTGCAAATGGCTTCTGTGTCCATGGAGTTTGGGGATAACGGCCAAGAACCACATGCTTAAGATATTTCTGAGTGCAGGCTGATCCCAAAGTTTCTCATGGGAATACCATGCTGGTGGTGGATTTCTGTCAGGTGGCCACGTACTTCTCCAGACTGTTGGGGGTGATGATGTTACAGTCTTTCTGCTCCTACATTTCTGATAAGGTGAAATTTGAATGAGCCTGAATTCTTTTTTTAATCTGAATAAAAACCTAAACAACAAAGTCCCACATAAAATGTAGAAAGAAACCCTTCCTCCAAAGCCCCTCACAGCTCCCAAGCAGGCATTTCCATAAATGGAACCCTTGGATTACCAATGATGTGCCTGGTGGCCTGGCTTGGGGGCACCATGGGAAGGGGCGCTATCCCTGCAGTTGGCAGCACCTTGGAGCCTAGAGCAAGGTGGCCCGGCAGATGGAGGTGGGCATTGCCATGCAGGAGGCAGAGGGGGAATGAGGGGGAGGAGGATGTGTAGATAATGGTGTGGGGAGACAGGAGCCGGGAGGCCTCCCATGCCTACTGCCTCTGCTGTGCCCTGCCCCAGATGCGTACCGTGAGACTCGCAAGTATGATGATGTGACCGAGAAGGTGAACCTGCAGAACAACCCTGGCGCCATGGAGCACTTCCACATGAAGCTTTTCCGTGCCCAGAGGAACCTCTACATTGCTGGCTTCTCCTTGCTGCTGTCCTTGTGAGTGTGAGGGGTGCCCTAGGCTGGCCAGGCCACAACTGCTTGTGCTTTGGCGCCATCTCATTTGTGTTTCGGGACCCTCAGTGACAGCAAACATGGAGCCAGGAGACCCTGACTCACCTGGTTGTGTGGTGTTTGCATATAGACTGGAGGAAGGACCTTTGGGACTCAGGCATAGAGAATTGACAGGGTGGAAGGATTGATGGCGTGGGGGGCTGTATGGGTCAGGGTGTTGGCCTGAGAAACCAAAAGGAGCGAAGTGTGGTGTGCAGGGCTCAGTGCAGCTCAGTGGTGAGCACTCACCTGGCTTCTATCCTGGCACTGCCCAAGAAGTTCTAGGTATGTGAAAGCCTGCCTTGAGCTCCACACGGGGACAGGACTACCTTTTTGTGGCTATGGCAAAGGGGGGCAGGCAGGAGGGATTGTAGGGGCAAGAGGATTGGAGTTCCTATAGGCAGGAGCCCACCAGAGTGCCTGGCTTTGAGTGGACAAAATGGTGCTGCAGAATGCCTGCAGATGGGTTGCACACAGGCTCGCTATCCTCGAGTCAAGGAGGTGGGTGGAAGACATCCTAGGGGCAGAAGGGGCCAAGGGTGCTTTCTGAGAATGGTCCCAGGGGTGCCTTCGTTCCTTGAGCAGAGCCCCCAGCAGGCTCACCTACCTCTGCACAGCTGGCACTGGGGGGGGTCTCAGGCTGTGTCTGACGGGTGTGCTCCGGCCACCCTGTGCATCTGCGCTTCAGTGCTGCTAGCGTCTCACTTCTGAGGACTGAGTAGAGGGCGCATGCCCAGACTTTGGGCAGAATAGCAAGTTGTGTTAGCAGAAACTGAAGCCCCTGGAATGAGCTTGAGGAGCAGCACCCTGAGCACACTTGTGTTCACGGGAGACCATGAATGTGTGTGCAGGTCCACTGAGGGCAGCTAGGAAGAGGGTGCACTGCTGGTTGGCACTGCATGAGTTGGTGGCCAGTGAGGGCTGACAGGGTTGGGGGTGTTGGAAGGGGTGGAATGCAGGCACCTGGAGAGAAAGCGGAGCTACCGAGCTGCTGATAGCTGCAGACAGCTGCTTCAGACTACGAATCCTGGCCCTTTCCTCCTCTCCACAGGACGCCTCTAGGCTGCTGCAGGGCTGACGGTGTGTCCTCAGGGTCATTTCTGCACTTGGCTGTCTTTTGCTTTTAGACATAGTAACATGTGGCTGTTAGCCAGGGACACATTCTCAGAAGCCAGTTGTTAGGCAGTGATGTATGGCGGCAGGATCCTGAGCATACTGGCATGAACCTGAACGGTCCGGCCTGCCACCATGCTGAAGTTACAGCACAGCAGAGGTGTTCGGTGTCTAAACAGAAAAAACTAGAGGCCGGGCAGATGGCTCAGTGGAATAAGCGCTTCCCTGGCAAGCGCAAAGGCCTGAGTTCATTTCCTGGTTCTGCATCCCCCAATAAATAAATAAACAAATAAACAGAAAAACCTGCAGGGTAGGGGGGCCGGGGAGATGGCTCAGTGGAATAAGTGCTTCCTTGGCAAGCGCAAGGGTCTGAGTTCAATCCCCGGTTCCGCCAAAAATAAAAATTAAAAAAAAAAAAAAAACAAACCTGCAGGGCTGGGGCTGGGGCTGGGGCTGGAGCTGGGGTTCAGGTTCGGGCTGAGGGTACAGCACTTGCCTGTCACACATTGGCCCTGGGTTCCAAACCTAGCATTATGTGTAGAAGAGGTGCAGAAGATCTACGTGCGTAGATCCGCAGCTGCCAAACGATTGCTGTGGATGAGTGCGTGTGAAAAGCCCAGCTATTTGATCCAGACTTCATGGGCCACACTGAGCTCATTAAAGCGTTTTTCACCAATAAGGAATTAGCCTGGGCTTACCCTAGTGTTTTACTTTGTAGACTTCAGGGTTTTTTTTCTTTCCTTTTCTTTTCTTTCTTTCCTTTTGTACTGGGGATACTTTCTTATTTATTTATTTAGGCAGAACCGGGGATTGAACTCAGGCCTTTGCGCTTGCCAGGCAAGCGCTTATTCTACTGATCCATCTCCCTGGCCCAATACTTTCTTTTTTAATGTGTGGTATTGGGGATTTTTTTCTTTACCTTTTATTTTGAGACTGGGCCAGGTGTGTATTTGAACTGATAAATCCTCCTACCTTGGCCACTCAAGTAGCTGGGATTACAGATGTGTGCTACTGTGCCTTGCCTCAGTTTTAACTTGTTGCCTTTTTTCCCTTTTTCTTTCTTGTTTGTTTGTTTGTTTGTTTGTTTGTTTAAACAATATCTTGCTGTTTTGCTGGGTGGTTCAGGCTAGTCTTGAACCTAGCCCAAGTGGGCCTCCAATTTGCAGTGATTCTCCTGCCTCAGCCTCCCTAGCCCTGGGATTACAGGTGTGTGCCACTATGTTCGGCTCTTCTCGACTGTTTTTTAAGAACAACATAAAATGTACAAAAATACTTTCTTCATACCCTTAAGCTGTAGGCTTTTTAAGCGATGTGTTTAGTACAGGTTCTACAGGGCCTTGCTATGGTGATCGGACTGTAGTGCGTGTCCTTTTTCAGCCTCCAAGCTCTGGGTGCGCAGCTGCACGCCCCGGGGCAGGGCCGGCCCAGCATGCCTGGGGTAGAGCCCTGCACCGGCCTAAGCAGTGGCCTAAGCAGTGTAAGCGTTTTCTGTTACAATTTTCTTTCCTTTTAAAGAAAGAGAAGAACGTTACACAGGTACATAGCCTAGGCCTGCGCAGGGCCTCTGCCTGCACGCCAGGGCTTCAGGGGCTGCTCCCTTTCAGAAGTGGGGCTCATTTCGTCCTGGCTTTGCTTGTTAAGTGGATTATACTCCATAAGTGCTCCTCTGTATTAACAAAAAACCCCTTGGGATTGGAGCCATATTTTTCAAGTTGTGCAGTTATTTTTCTGTTTCTCAGTGCTGGGCATGGAACCCAGGGTCTTGTGCCGACTAGGCAAGTGCTCTGTCACGGAGCTATAGCCCTGGCCCTGTGTTTTCAAATAGTTTTTCACTTTAGCATCCAGTTAGCCTTTGTTCCTGACTATAAATGGGGAGTGTCTCATCTGAATACTTAAAAGTGCTCAGGGCCGCTGCGCTCCGTAGGTGAAGCAGTCTGTGGGGGGTGGCCTGCCCTTTCAGGGCTCCCTGTTTACAGGCTTGTGGAGGGGCTCTTTCTTGGGGTGCTTCTTCCCCTGCACTTGCCTTTCCTCCTGCCTCCTCCAGCTGTGTGCTCGCTGTAGGTGACAGGAATTTAGGAACCTCTGTTGCTGTGTGGTCTGTCGTTGGTGGCTTGTGGTTGAATGTAAAGTCTGCCATCTCGTGTGTAGTTCTCAGGGGTCTTTCCTTTTCCCTCTACCGCTGAGCTGCACCCCACACCATCTCTTGAGTTTTCTGCCTAATGTGTATCACGAGGGTGCAGGAGCACTCGTAGCTTCCTCCTCTCTCTCTCTTTTTTTTTTTTCCCCCAGTACCGGGGATTGAACTCAGAACCTTGAGCTTGCCAGGCAAGCGCTTATCTTACTGAGCTATCTCCCCAGTCCTGCTTCTTCTCTTAAGCTACACAAGTGGCTTGGAAGAAGTCAGTCCTCCCTCATGCCACACAGTGTTCCCAAAGTGCTGCACAGAGGAGCAATGACTGAGTGGGATTTGGATGCAGTTATTTGGGGGACAGGGAGGTGGGCTTTTTGAGACAGGTCTTGGTGTGTGGCCCAGGCTGGCCTGGAGCTCACAGAAATTCTCCTGCCTCAGTGCCAAAAATGCTGAGCTTTGGGTACACTGTTAGCATACTGCTCAGAGTCCTGATGCCTTCCTTTCCCTTCAACAAGGGCGTAACGACCTGACTTGAGGTTGAGTGTCAGGCAAGACCACAGCTGGCTTAGCTCCATCCCCACACCCATTTTTCCTCCTGTCTCACTGCAGCTGCAGGCCCTTGGTGAACTATGGGGTCAGCTCCGTGCTGTGCCTGCAGCTCCCTCCTGTGGCACCATCCAATTATGAGCTGAGTCCTGTGTGACAGCTACTTAGAAGAGGATAGACACAGTGATTCCAGCAGTCTGTGGGACTTCCCTAGTTGTTTGTTCACAAATGATCTGTTTAGTCCCTTCTGAAGATTTGTCAGAAATATATAGTCTTCCTTAGTCAAAGGCTTCGATCCTATAATGGTGGCTGTGGCCCTTGAAGAGCTTTGAATCTTTTTTTTTTTTTGTATTTTAGGGAAGGGTCTACAGGGTGTTCAGGGTATTACTACTAGATCGGACTTGTAGTGATCTGCCTGTTTACAGCCTTCCAAGAGCTGGGATTATAGGTGTGCACCACCACGCCCAATCTCAATCCCTGTCTCAGGGTGCCCCAGGGGCGGGGCTGGCATGGCAGGCCCAGAGATCAAACCCCTGGCCCCTGTGCCTGCTTGCAGGCAGAAATATTCTTTCTCTCTCTCTCTTCTCTGTAGGCAACCCGCAGGTGGCTGGCAGGAAACACTTAACAAAGCCACTCTCTTCTAGTTACAGAAATCCCTTGATATAAACAGGTCTAAATAAAGCCTCCCCTTAAAACACTTCCCATAATAGAAGTGTGAAGTAATATCACCTATAGTTCTATCTCCAGAGATGGCTATAAGTGATCACACAGATGTTTCTAAACTTTTTTTTCTTTTTTATTTTATTGAGAAACATGAATGAGACAGTTTCAAAGCTGATTAATGGGACAGTTTTGATAATCAATACATTGTACAGGGCTGGTGAGATGGCTCAGTGGTCTAAAGCACCTACTTAGAACAAGCTTAACAAAGCACAGGGACCATGGTTCAATCCCCCAGCACCACATGCCAGCCAGTCCGCCCCCTGGTGGGCTGAGCTGGCCACACACACATACACACACACAAATAAATAAATAAATAAATTAAAAAAAATACATTGTACATTGTTATCTTCTTAGTGGTTATCCATAGTACAAGAAGCAGACAGGATATCCTGTCCAAACACTATCAGTACACCTCTTTCTTATTGAATTAAGC